TTAACTACCCTGACAGGAAGTTTTTCTTAATGTCCAACCTAAACCTCTCTTGCTACAGTTTAAGCCCATTGCTGTTTGTCCTATCCTCAGAGGCCAAGGAGAATAATTTTTCTCCCTCCTCGTGACACCCTTTTAGATACTTGAAAACCGCTATCATGTCCCCTCTGTTTTCTCCTTTCAAAACTAAACATGCCCAATTCTTTCAGTCTTCCCTCATGTTCTTTAGGCCTTTAATCATTCTTTTTGCTCTTCTCTGGACCTTCTCCAATTTCTTGACATCTTTCTTGAAATGTGCTCAGAACTGGACACAGTACTCCAGTTGAGGCCTAATTAGTGCAGAGTAGAGGGGAAGAATGACGTCTCATGTCTTGCTCACAATCCTGTTTATGCATCCCAGAACAGATATATAAACACATTTAAAATTATTACTGGAAATATTAAACTGTTAAGCAGCTCCTTGCATGCAATTTTTCTTTAATTTTTGAAATGTGTGTAAACCAGGTGGACTTTCACTGCTGGATGTGTGGAAAGAACTGTAATAGTGAGAAACAATGGCAAGGTCACATATCTTCAGAAAAGCATAAAGAAAAGGTATTCCACACGGAAGATGATCAAAACTGTTGGCAGCATCGGTTTCCAACTGGATATTTTAATATTTGTGATAGGTATGTAGCTTTTAAATTTGAGATATCAAAGTTGCTCATGCATGAATGTGGTACCGCAAACGTAGACAGATACTATTGTTATTGCAGCTACCTGAGATGGTAATATTGATATTGTTTTAATAATGTCCACTCTATTAGTATAAATTGTTGATATGGTATGCAAAACAAATGGTTAAATAGCAATATTTTAACATGAACACCTGAGTGACTAATCGTGTATTTTAATGTGTGGTGGTGAGGTTTGTGTCAGAAGTGACACTGTGGAAAGGTTCAAGTCGTCTTGTGCTAGGATGAAATTTAGTTTAAATAACAGCATTGGTATATCACAGCTATTGCTATAAATATGCCCAGTTCTTAGAACTGCATACAGGGAATTATCCACTCTTCTTATGTAACACATTATCTTGAATTTATGGGGTGTTCTTTGCAAAGCAGATAGCCTTTGGTGACAGAAAACACTGTCATTGGAAACTATCCAAGAAATGTAGGTATGTTCTAGTGACTCAACACACCAACCTGTGCTGGTTAATATACTCTATTTTGTGTCCTCCAACAATGGAATAGACCAGTTAACATACTTTGAATCTCTGGAGACAACCTTGTTGGTTTTGGAGTCTGGGATCCTGTGTTAGAGGTCTAAAGTGCAGGAGCTCTCTGTGGCAGTATTTAAAAACTATATTTTATGGATTTGAGAAAATGAATGGCTGTGACAGGATGGGATTCTGATGATTTTTGGAACTTTGAATTTAATGACTAAATTAACATCTTAAACTGTATGAAAATCTCTCTGAAAAAAGAATTTGTGCTTCTTTAATAAAGATCTAATTGTATGAAACATAGTAGAAAATATTTAAGACTTTTTAAAACCAGATATTTAATGATACTCTTGTGAAAACTATAACATACCAATTTGTTTTAATAGATATATGGCTGGTTCTTGCACTGAAGGAAACAAATGTAAATTTGCACATGGAAATGCTGAGCTTCATGAATGGGAAGAAAGAAGAGATGTTCTAAGAATGAAGCTCAGCAAAGCAAGAAAAGATCACTTGATTGCTCCAAATGATAATGACTTTGGAAAATATAATTTTTTGTTTAAAGACTTAAACTAATACTAAAATGATGCATTCATGTTACCTTATGGAAGCATAAACCAGAAAATTTGACAGAATCCAAAGCACGTGACAGAAAAGCAGCAGATTTTCTGCCTTTATTGGTGCATATTGTTCCTCCTGAACAGCAAAAATAGTAGATGTAGGGGGATTCAGAAGACTTGTCTGTGCTCTCATGAAATGGAATGGTGAAGTAATAAAAAAGTAAGATATAACGTATTACATGCTTATTCGCCTTCTGTTGGACATAATGTTAGAAAAGAGGAGGAGGAGAAGGAAGAGGTTATATCTAGGAAGCCTCCCTAGAGTTGGTCCTTCAGAGGAAAACTTTATGGTAAAATTACAAAACACACTGGGTGTTTTGAGCTAAGAAGAAAATTATGGATGAAAATTCTTTAAATGTTTTAATGGAGAGGATTTGTTAAATAAAACTTTGCTATTTATCTCTATATAGGTTGCTAAAGAGGATTTTCTTATTAAAAAGGATTTTAAGCAGAATAACCATTTAACAATATATGCTGAATGGTGTATTTTTTTCTCTATTTGTATATTTCAATATAATTTACTGAAATTGGGAGAAAAATGTATTGATTTTTCTTTTTTCAAAATCAAGTAGTTTAAATTCTATCTCTTGGTCTTTGTTTAAATGATGATTTTTGAAAGATTACACTTGTATGTCAGTATTGTGTATTGTATGAATCAATGTTGCCTATAATAAAGTAACTTTACATGAAGCTCCTTTCTGCATGTAGCTTCTGATTGACTTATATTTTGCACAAAACAGTTACTTAGCCATTAGAGAAAAGTTTCCTTTTGGGCTGCTGCTTACAACCCAAAAAGGGCAAATATCCATCCAGGACATACATGCTGGGTGTTTTGAGCGAAGAAGAAAATTATGGATGAAAACTTCTAACGGGTAAGAGGTAGGGTATGCAGCTTCCTCTTTCCCCAACTTAAAGAAAGGTCAGGATTTGGTTGTGCTAAGAAAACGAGAGGTGCCGGTAATGGGTGTTTGTGCCAGTACATGGAAAGGGAGGGGACAGGAAGAAGAGGGATATGATATACTCAGTCACCACTGGAGGCAGCAAGTGCAGGAGACAGGGATATGCAGAATAACCACTGGGGCAGCTTCACCAATGAGACTAGTTAGCTGGGGGAAGGGGCTTTGCAACAGAGCAGGTAAGTGGTCCCTAACACAATGCCAGAAGGAGGCCCCCCAAGAAAGGCCAGAAACCATGGCCCAGGCCTGGATAGGCTGCATGCTGTAGAGGGGAGCACTGTAGGGCCAAGGGCAGCCCTTGGAGCCTCCCCCACTCCAGTCAGCTGCAGGGGCCAGTTGTAAAGCTTTGCCCCCCTTTCCTCCCATGGACAGGTTGCAGGCCAGGAGAAAGCAGCTCAAGTCAAGGCCCAGCCACAAGAGTGCCACCACACTTCCCTGGACAGGCTGAAGGGCAGAGGGAGGCTGAGAATAGCCAGTGGAGGCACTCCTCCAATCCCTGGACAAGCTGCAGGCTAGGGCTGTCCTGCACAGCTCTGACCCTCCTGGATCTGCTGGCCAAAGAACACAGCTTCGGTCCTCCAGAAAGCTGCTGCCACAGCAGCAGTGTCCTCATTGCCCAAGTGAGCTTTCCTTCCTCCCTCCACTCAGCCTGGGCTTTGTGCCCTCACTCCTGCACCACCACTCAATGCTATGAGCCAGGAATAGTGTCTCTAGCCTCAGTCAGAAATTGGATATGTGCAGTTGGTTGGATCACTTGATTACCTGTTCTGTTCATTCCCTCTGGGACACCAGTGACACAAGACAGGATATTGGGTTAGATGGACCTTTGGTCTGACCTAGGATAGTGGCTGTTCTGTTCTTACAGATTTTCTGCAGTGGTAAGTAATGTGGTCATTTATTTTGCACAGTGAGCAACACTGAGTAGGCAAGAAACTACATTTTAAAAATAAAGCTTGCTTTAGGTTTTTAACTGACTACTCCAGACATGTGTGTTATGATTTGAGGAATTGGACAAAATGCTATCAAGTTTTGTATTGAACACATATGGTTTCTAGCCTCTAGGTTTTGGAAGTATTTTCCCCCTCTTCTACTTTGCAGCTGAAATGCACTTCGCAAGCCACTCCAGAGAAATTCCTTTCAGCAGTAGAAGACCAAAAGAGTTGTGCTTTAATCTGAAATGTCACTTCTGAACAAGGTTATCCTCCGGATCACAGCTATGAGCTCTTTTCTTTCTACATTTTGTCTTTACTTCTAGGGATGTTAGCATATATTAGTTCAAAGGATTAACCAATATGCCTGCTCTTATCAGTTAATCATAATGACTACATGCAACTCCCCTCCCTGCCCCTGCACTCACTGTTCATGCAGCAGTTATAATAGGATACATATGTTATGTATACTATTTGAGTTGTCCTACTGGTTGTTGAAAGATGAAGAAAAGTGTAATGAAGATTAGCTTTAGTAAACTTTTAAGATTGAAACAGGACTTCTCTACTTGTACTCAGGGCTGGATTAAGGCATGGGCTAGCCGGGCAGTCAACCTATAGGGGGCACCTGACAGCAGCTGTAAGGGGCATACAGTGCCCCTTATAGCTGCCATCAGGTGCCGTGCGCCTGGCTCCCAGATCACGGGCTGCAGCAGCTCCTAGCGACCACGTACAGCGGCCGCCTATGGCGGGGGCTGCATTAACCCCCCGCTGGGCCGGCCAGCCATGCCCTTCCCCCCACAGCCAGGGGGCCCTGCATGGCCAGGCTCTGCCCACCCCGGGCTGTGCGCCAGCGGCGGTAGCTGGGCAGGGCTGGGCCTGGCAGGTGCCTCCTGCTACTATCAGCTTCATGTGCCCTCCCCTATGCACCCTCCCCCAACCCAGGGCACAATTAAACTGTCTGCCAGGGGCACCGGAATGGCTGGGTCCGTCCCTGCTTGTACTGTTCTGTCTGCTAAATATATTCCTATCTTTCTCCTTTCAGTTAATTTATCACCCACAGAAACAAGTTATTTTTTTCATTGTAAATTACCTCAGACAAGCAAAATCACCCCAGACCTTTTTTTCTGTTAACCCCCCTCGCCGCCCAGTTTTCTGACGGGGCTTGAGTTGATTTGTATGGCCACTACTCAAAAAGCCGTAAACACTTCAGCGACGGTCGGTGCCCTGCTTTTCGCCTGCGTTTATTCAGCCTGGAACTTGCCTTTGTTTGAAACATTCGCTCAATGATACTTACAAGAGTGAACCAGAAAAGAGGGTTTCAAAGTTCAGCGAACACCCACGGTGCGGAGACCAATCCCGAACGCGGTCTCTGCTTTCCCCCATGGCTGCACTGCGGCCCAGGGAGAGCGACATCGCGGCCGTGGCCCGGCTCGGACACTCGCCTCGGTCCGTTTCCCAACGGGCAGGTGAGACGCGAACACAGGGAGTTGTGAGGCGATGCGGGGGCCGCGCTGGTGTTTGACCATCGTTAACGGGGAGGCGGCGTTTTTCGCCTACTGCGCGTAGGCCCCTGGGGCTTGGCGACGGCCGACCCTCACCCTTCCCCCCATTTCCGAGCGAGCAGGCCGCTGGGAGCCGCCCGCATG